CTCCCTTTTATTTGGCTATGGCCTAGAGATATGTTTTTTTCATCATTGTTTTCTCTCTTCATTCTCTTCTTGATGTAAGAGCTATGTTAACATATACAAGCCAAGCAACTTTTGCTATGAATCCTATTTTCTGCAAATGTAATTGTGTCAGAAAATAAGAAAAATATCGTTATTAAAGCAGATGACTTGATTTAGTGGATTATTTTTTTCTGTTCTTACTTTTACATTCTCAAACAAGTTGAAAGGAAATGTGGAATCAAGTGGCAATGGGGTGTGTGTGTGTGTGTGTGTGTGTGTGTGTAAATAATGATTTCATTAATAATTTTAAATTCCATAGAGATCTTAATAGTTGTTATGTATGACCATAAAAATTAATGGTAGAATAATTGCTTGAATTTTAGAATTACAACTTTTTGTATGACATGAATTCTGAGAAAATCTTGAAATGTCTAATTTACTATGAAACAGTTAGAAACATATAAAGGACATGGTACTTTATTAGATGTTCATTTCGTTTAACCTTCATGGAATACAAAACTATATAGATTTTTCAAAGCACTGTGATAAATGTATGCACTAGACTTGCACGGACATGTAAGAATTAGTTGCCAGCTGTCTAGCTGCAAATCCAGAAATTTTCGTAAGGATTATTTTCTAAATGGTATCAAACTCAGTTGGAAATCTTCATGAAATAAATAATAATATACTCATCACCCTTCTCCTGTTTACAGGACAGTGAATTTTGTATCGACATAAATTAGATAAGGCAAAAGTTAAGATATTTTTGTTCTTAATAAAGTGTTAACATTTTAATCTACATATATCTGTGTCATTAAAACCTTTTTAAAAATAACTTTGGAAGAAGTTACAGATTATATAAACATATAATGTACTTTATTTTTAAACAGAAATAAAAAGAATTGTATATAGTAAAATAGCTATGTGAGTTGTTAATTTTAGACTTCCTGAAGAGGATAATTCTTTCCTCCTTAGGATGCTTTTATATTTGAAAGATTAAAATGGTTATTTTGAAAAATAGTCTTAAGAAAATTTTTGACACAATGTGTTCTGTCGAAGCACTTTATTGAAATTACTTCATCCTGGCCAAATCCAGTGGTTTTTTTTCTCACTGGATTTTTAGTTTTTGTCTCTTTGATCCTTCTTTTGCACTTGGCCCTATTGACCACTCCTGCTTCAGGTGAAATTCTCTCTTGTCTCTTACCTTAACCTCTGCACCTTCCCTCACAGTGGCTTCCCTCTTACTTCCCTGACTGCTCCTGCTCAGGATGCTTTTGTTAAACGAACTTTTCTTTTGACCCACACTTGAAAATGTTCTTGTTTCTTCGAATTCTCAAACATGTGGTGATTATGTGTCCGGGTTACTCCCCTCTATGAAACCTCCGGGGGCTCAGCCTCTTAAATGCAAGGGTGGCAAACTCGGATGCCAAAAGGGCAAGTACAAGCAAATGAAGATATCTGGATGCGTTTTAATCATAGAAAGTAGATAGGGATTTTTAAAATTAGGAAGAAAACTCCTCATCTAAAGCTTTTTTCATTTAGCCCCAGCCTCTGTTGCTGTGAAGGCCAAGTATTCATTCCTTCACTCACCAAACATTGACAGAGGATTTACTATGTGCCGGGAATGTAGGTGCTCAGGATAAGACAGTAAAGCGAACAAAGATACCTCATTGCTGGAGCTGACATGAATTCTGGAGGTGAGCCCTTGTGGAGTCACACAAGGCTAATGATATTTTATTATTACCAGATCTTCAATTTTTTAAAGCCAAACATCCAGGTTTTCTATGAGATTCCATTTTTTTAAATATTGACAAATTTTTTAAAGAGACATCGAGCCCATTAGAACTGTGCCTACATGTTTTCACCATCAACCTACAAAATAACAATCTAATGTCTTTTATTAATTATTATTGTACTTGAAGTTCTGGGGTACATTTGCAGAACGTACAGGATTGCTACATAGGTATACACATGCTATGGTGGTTTGCTGCATCCATCTTCCTTCATCTACATTAGGTATCATCTTACCATGCAATATCAAGACCTTCTCACCTGGATCTATTTGTCCATCTTGATCTCCATGTAATTTTTTGTTTCCCACCCTCAATTCACAATTGGCCATGCTTAGCCCTTTCTTCTATTACATTTTATGTATTGTACTTCCTGCTAGAATGCATTTTCATTCCCGATCCCTTTTCATCCCTTGTCAATCAATACTCATTGAAAATCTAAATGTCAAGTCCTTTGTAGGCTGGCCTTCATCTCACTGTATAAAATTACTCTCTGTCTTCTACTATTCCATAGTATTTCTTACATACTCTAATTAGAGCACTTACTGATGTGTTCTATGGACCCAGAACCCAACAAAGCTATCGTTTTATGTTTGTATCCTGAGAATCTAGCACAGCAGTTTGCACCAAATTAGTGACTCATATATCCCTGTTGAATGAGTGGTGATAACCTGCTTACCTCCCAAGCACAGAACAAACAGATCCTCAATGAATAGAAGCTTTGCTTCATATATAGACAACCCTGATACAAAAAGTCACATTTGATAAAAAATGATAATTATCAACGTTTCTGCCAGATAGACCTGAAATATCTACTTACGTCTGCTTTACCCAACATCCCCAAAACACACACACACACACACACACACACACACACACACACACAAACACAGCCCAGGCCTTCCATTACCCAACGTCCCCAAACACACACACACACACACACATACACACACACACACACACACACACACACACTGCCCAGCCCTTCCATTACCTAATGTCCCCAAAACACACACACATACACACACACACACACACACACAGAGCCCAGGCCTTCCATTACCCAACGTCCCCAAACACACACACACACACACACACACACACACACACACACACTGCCCAGCCCTTCCATTACCTAATGTCCCCAAAACACACACACACATACACACACACACACACACACACACACACACACACCCTCTGCCCAGCCCTTCCATATCCCGTACACACATAGACCAAAATTCCTGGAATATTGCCTGGCTTATGCATATGTAATTTATAACTCTGGACTTCTCATATGATATAGCAAAATCATATCTCCTCTTTATCTTTGTGTTTTCTTATTTACTGCTTTTAAACTTACAAGGTTATTTTAAAAGGTAGGTGTACAAAGGTGGGAGGGGCTCAGGACAGAGATGGGGGACAAACTTTCTTGAGTGACAACTCTGTGCAAACAGTGTTTCCGGGGCTACAGGAGTGCTGCCGCATTTTTCCTTTCTTAAAATGTCTCTGAGTTAGATAGCATTATTCCCAGTTTTTCACTGAGGAAGATGAAGCTGAAACAGTTTAAGTTACATGCCATAAGAGAGTTTTGGATACTTCAGATTTATAATCGTTTCATTATACACTTTGTCTTTTTTCAGCAACTTTTTTCTTTCATATATTTAATACTACATAAACTGTAGTATTTTTGATAGTCTGGTATCTACTGAATTTAAAATTAAAAAAAAAATCTATCAATGGCTTACAATCATGTCAGACTCTCTTTTAACAAAAGTTTTGCAGTTCCCTGTTTAGTATTCTGAAATGCAATTCACAGAAGCAATTATCTATTTATATGTGAAATTGTTTTAAAAATAAATATATGGCCTGCATGTTATGTAAATCTATGATAACAGAATGTAATTTCTATTAAAATAATATGTTTCAATATATAAATGAACAGAAAAATAAAGGGAAGATGTTAGCATCTTTTAAGTAGATTCCTTGTGAATGTGACAGCTATAAATGTAGACTAATATGAATATGTTTGTTTTAGTTGTGATGAAAATAGTTCCTGTTAGTCACGTGTTTTTCCAAGTGAGTAATTCTTGGTAAAGTTCTAAACAAAATACAGAACACTTCCTTAATTTACTCTGTAGTTGACTTTCTTGAAAATGTACTATAAACTGAAACAGTCGAAAACATATATGCGTTTATACCTGAGATGATGTAAGGTTCCAGACTTAGATGATCCACAGTAGAAATTGCATCTGCATAAAATGTCCAGTGAAATATTTGAAAGGCATAGAAGACATAGGGCAAGTACGCATTTTCAGAACTTTCCAGGGTTGGCACTTGGGGACCTTGCCTGCTACGTTTCTGTCCTCCCCTTCTCACCCCCAATCACTGAGACAACCTAAAATGTTTCTGCAGATTTCTAAAACACTCTGTCACTGGGCAATACTGGTCTCAGTGAGCACCACTGATCCAGACCTTCCCAGCCAGAAGTTGACATGTGTTTAAAACACTGATTCATTCCTCTGTTTAAGATACTGCTTGTAGTGAAATATAAAATAAAAATATGTAAGTACTGGTTTGTTTCTTCAAGGATTAACAGCCTAAGAAGATGGATCCCTTATACACATATATGATTAGTTAGAAATATGTGTTTACCAAAGAGAGAAAGATGACAGTGAGCTGAGCACACCCAGGAAAGTCACACGAGGGAAGAACAGTACCAAGTGTGGTATGAAGTGGCTCGGGGAAAGCTTGCATCACAGATGAGGAAAGAGCCACGGCCCCTGGCCAGGATGAAAGAGTTACTCTCAACGAGTAAAGGGCGGTCATCATAGGAATTGAGTGGAGTAACACTGTCATGTCCAAATGGAAATTATATTCAGTAAGTCATGAATTTAATGCCAGATATGGTTGCTCCTTACAAAATGTTTCAGTTTTAGGATGGCTATTTAGTGAAATTTGGAATTTGTAAACAAAAACTAAGGGCTCCAAATAGACTCATATTTCTTCAACTGGATGCTCGTTTTCAGTTGTGTCTCTTCTTTAGAATACTTAATTATATGTTCCCAGTTAAATTTTGGATTAACTCCTCGGTGTGGTCCATCGAGTCATAGCATCCCACAGACATGAAACTGGTAATCGCCAGAATAACAGACTGTGAAATGATGTCTCTTTCTTTTTGTCTTTTTGCAGGTATGATTTTGTAGAAGTTGAGGAACCCAGTGATGGAACTATATTAGGGCGCTGGTGTGGTTCTGGTACTGTACCAGGAAAACAGATTTCTAAAGGAAATCAAATTAAGATAAGATTTGTATCTGATGAATATTTTCCTTCTGAACCAGGGTTCTGCATCCACTACAACATTGTCATGCAAGTAAGTGCCACTTTGAGATCCCCCTTATTTAATTGGATCAGCTCTTTATTTTTATTTTTCTCGTCTGACACATTAGAATCGGAAAAAAATCAGAAAACAAACCTAGCTTGGTTATCTTTTTTATGTAAGTATTAAATGTGTTTATCACAATCAAATGTTGTTACTGCAGATTAGTAACAGTACGAAAATCCTTATACTGTAATGAAGTAAGATTTTTTTTTTACATTTATAAGATTATAGCATATCTCTTACTCTCCAGCTCAGTCACTGGAATTTTCATTGTTGATGTGAAATTACAATGGTATTTTCCTCTTAAGAAAAACAGGAAAATTTATGTTATTAGTCTCTTATCATTTAGGGATCTCTGTCAAAGTTTGGACTGTAAAATACCTTTCTGAATTAATTTCTGGTTTGAGTCATATTAAATAAAATATACTTTTCTAGCGTTTTGGGTTACCCTTTCTTATATGATAGTATTTTACATTTTACCAAATGTTACTCATACTTTAAAGATGTAAATTTTCACGGTTACACTGTACTCTGGTGTTATTTGCAAATTCATGTATAGATTATTGTAATTAATACATTGCAGATACAGAAAGCCAGCACTACTTGTTATTAATCTCATTTTAACTAAACTCATGTTTGTATTGCCTTAAAAGTCATTTTTTATGTGATCTTTTACATTTTCCCCCATTAATGTGGCATCATTTCTTTCTGTACCCACCAAAAATATTCGGGATGTGTTTATAGATATAGACATAACATTTTTCTATCTTTTTTTGGAGAAAGCCAAACTTAAATATTAATTATTTTCAAATTGATATATTAGTAGAACTAATGATCTCTATTGGTCTACTTAATCTTAATATTTATCTGTTTTAATAATATTAGTTGTCCTTTGTACCCCAAAAAATGAATTTTTAAAATTCTCACTGGAATTTAAGAAATCTATTTTGTTTAATTATAATTGTGTATTATATCTTAATTGTAATTTTTGTGTTTTGTATTTCAGGTGTGTTGTAGTGCAACAAAAATATTGAAAATATTTTGCTATTTTTATCACATTCTGCTTATTAGTAATTCAGAAGTTCTTATACAAATAGGATGATGTAATCTAGCATACCTGTTAAATCAATAATATTACAATTTAAAAAGCTATTAAAAGTTAATATCTTAAGTGATTTTAACAGAAGATTTAGTAAATTAGTAGGCACACTGAGAACATACCATGGTTTTGGGCTGCATGAATTACAATGTATACTTCTATTGGGTATAGAAACTCTGTACATACTAGCTGGGCACGGTGGCTCAAGCCTGTAATCGCCGCACTTTGGGAGATCACGAGGTCAGGAGTTCAAGCCTGACCAACATGGTAAAACCCCGTCTCTACTAAAAATACAAAGATTAGGCAAGAGTGATGGCATGCACTTGTAATCTCAGCTACTCAGGAGGCTGTTGCAGGAGGTTTGCTTAAAACTGGGACGCAGAGGTTGCAGTGAGCTGAGGTCACAACACTGCACTCCAACCTGGGCCACAGAGTGAGACTCCATCTCAAAAAAATAAAAAAAGAAACTCTGTACATACCAAGCCAGCAATTCACTAGGCAAATTAGAAAATACAAAATCAATACATACCATTTTATATTACATTCATATTGTACTGTTAAGCAGAAATTTCCCTTTTTGATTGTTTAGGAGTCTATGAAATATTATGTAGGCAACTGATTAAATGAAGAAAATTTAAGTATTAGTTAAGGGTATAGCTAAAAAGAAACAATAAAATGTGAATGAAGTTTGAAAATGATAATTTATTCATTTAGTAATAATAGAATCATTTATCATGTATGATTGAAGTTAAAAGAGAAATCTCCAAAGTATGTTACAAATGTTATAAATTGTGAATTTTGATCAGTTTTCTTATGTAGATTATTTAAGATATCCCAAACTCTATTCCATTCTGAAATCGTTTTTGCCAGTATAAATTCTGTACCATTTTCTTTGTTACTTTCCAAACTTTTGAAAGTTTAATATAATACTTTAATATATTTAAATTTAATAAGACATAACAATTCTACCTATAAATGAAAAATGTTAATGGCAGACAAAGATGTACACTTTTTATTTATATAGGTAATAGTTTGATACTGAGTATTTGCTTGATTAAAGCCACTAAGAATCTGTTTAATATACTTTCACAGTATCTTCTTTCACAGAACTTAGTCAGTTTAATATTTTTTGGTCTAGGGTGGCCTTGAGGGCCATGGTACACTTTCACAAAGTGAAATATTTCTCAAATTTGTAAATATGGAATATATTAAATTTTAGTAAAAAACATACTAGCAGGCTTTGTTAGGGCAAAGGTTTTATTCATCCCAATTATGCAGTAAAAATAAACTTTAAGTTAAGGATATTATTTGTATTTTAAATGAACTTCTCCCCATATCATATTAATTTAAATGTGCATAAATAACAATCTACTGTCCTCCTATAGAATAAAAGATGAAAGCTGAAATGTATGTATATCACCACTGAAGTTTTTATTTATTTATTTATTTATTTATTTATTTTATGACCACATGAATTATCTGGTTGTATAACCCAAGGAGTAACATGGATTAAATCAAACATGTAAAGATAAAAGTATACTACATGTATGTACTACACGTGTACATAGTAGACATTGTGTATGTATGGTATTTATAGCAGCTTGCTCAGTTCTGAGCACATAATAGTCTCTCAGTCAATACTTGAATGCTGAGTTCATCATGCAGTTCCATCACCCAGCTTAATAGAGGATTCACTCTACGTGTGTGAATGTGGTTAGATTTATGAGCCTTATGATGAAGTGAGAACCCAAGGATTGATTGAAACTGCCACCCGTCCTCTTCGCTAAGAAAGGCCCTGTCACCAGGGTTGACCTGTTATCATAGATGGGGATTTAATTCAGCGCATTTTTAAATGATTGTTGCAATAGATTGATAAATTGTCAATACGGGCTTCCATGGGCTGTTGTCACCTCTCTTGGCCTCTATTGAGCCAGACTTTGTGCGGCCACTATGTTGACCTATACTGGGCTGTAGATAATGGTATGTTGGGGTTTTTCCCCATAGTTCTTGTAATTAAACTATGTTTAGGAAAACATTTGGACTGGAAGAAACAGGAGAGCATGAAGGTAGGGTCCTGTGTCACTTAATAAGTTATTACTTGGTGGTTTTAATTTTTAAGATTGCTTTCTGGAGAAATTATTGATATGTGAATTTTACAATCTCACAAACTTAGGTTTTTCTGTGTTTAAATTTTCTTTGACAATTAACCTGTCAATTGTCTTGACAGGTTAACCTGTCACCTGTCCCTTGTCTTGGTTCCATATATCCATTCATCTCTCCACTTACAGCCACATTCATCCTACTCTTCATAACTGCCTGTGGAAGGGTGAGATCTGATGAGTTACAGTTTGATAAGTGGTTACGCTGTTAAGCCATCCAGAATGTTCTGAATTATCATTGCGTACTCCTAAGTGACATCCTGCCCTCCACACACCCTGTTAACACCCCACACTTTAGTAGTGGGGTGCAGTCCATCAATCTTATCTGTGTATCAGATGAATGAAAGCCTAAAGTGTGCCTTTAGGACAGCGGACTTAAAAGTTCTTGAGGCATTTGCTCAGGGGAAAGGGCCCCTCCAAGACCCCGGATAATCTCTGATGCTTTCATTTTTCTCCTTTTGTTCTGGATAAACTTCATATTAGCACACTCAGTCCCACAGAGGCAATGGTAACATTGATTAAAAACCTACCTCTGCAAATTTGCGCTTCAGGTTCCGCTGGTCACAGTGATTTCTTTGTAACGATAAAAAATATTAACTACTAGTTTATCATAGACAATTAACTTTCTGCACTAAGGTTTGTCAGGAGTGCCTAGCATAATGTCGTACACCTTGTACCTGCTCATTCAGATTTCATAGAAATTCAGCCATTTCATCCTAGAGTTGTCTAAAACTCATAGGGAGCTATACTACCTTCTTATTTATTATATGTCACCTTTGTTCCTATCACACAGTAGAGATAACTCATAAACTGGGAAGCAGTATACTCGCAGTAATGACACCAGATATTCTGCTCTCCTAACATATTAGGCTATATTACCAAAGACACATTCTTGCATTAGTTAAATAATTGCCCTGGTCTTCTTTAAAGGGGAGGCAGTGGGGAATGGGAATTAGTAGGACATCACTGAAGTTAAAGAATTAAGTGTATACTAATGATTTGATAAACATTAGAATATATAGTTAACCTTACCTGCTTTTTATAATCAACTCAACAAATATTTTGCATGCATGAATATACAGAAAAAACTTTAAGTGAGTTTAATATCATTTTTTCCTAGGACAAATTATGGATAAAGTTTATTGTAAACTTATCGCCATTTCACAGGTAAAGAGATAACTCTGTAGCCTTCTTTGGGCATATAAATGGATATCTGGTTCTGGTCATCATTTAAGACTCCTTGATTCTGATTACCATCTGTCTTAGAGGGAGAGTTTTAATACATGAGTTAAAATTCTCAGAAACAGTTTTTGCCACACAGGGTACCATTAAAAATTATGTTTCCCCTTGTAAGATGATTTACTCACTCTTTTTCCCCTCAATTTATAAATAATAGAGCAGATAGTTAAGTAAGAGATGACTTGTTAGTTTGAATAAAGTGATGTTGATCTAATATGTAAAGATGTTACCTATTTATTATAAATATTTGTACTTTATAATGTTAGGATTTCCATACTATTTTCTTGATTCACAGGTACCATACAATAAGATATAAATAAAATTCTCTCCGTTTTTTTCATTTTAAGTTGGCATTATAAACTAAACATAGGTTTAGAAATAACATTATAGCATACGGTGTTTACCTGAGGTTATAGCTAGTTACAGCTTTTTAAAACAGTAGTAGTAGAAATGCTACATAAATTTTAAATTACAGCATTTTGATGATATTTCAG